AGTTCTGGCTCACAGTCGTAGAGCGCACAGACTCGGTAGCTGTGGCTCACAGGTCCTAGAGCGCACAGGCTCGGTAGTTGGGCTCACAGGTCCAAGAGCGCACAGGCTCGGTAGTTCTGGCTCACAGATCCTAGAGCGCACAGGCTCGGTAGCTTTGGCTCACAGGTCCTAGAGCGCACAGACTCGGTAGTTCTGGCTCACAGGTCCTAGCGTGCACAGGCTCGGTAATTCTGGCTCACAGGTCCTAGAGCGCACAGGCTCGGTAGTTCTGGCTCACAGGTCCTAGAGCGCACAGACTTGGTAGCTGTGGCTCACAAGTCCTAGGGCGCACAGGCTCGGTAGTTCCGGCTCACAGGTCCTAGGGCGCACAGGCTCGGTAGTTCTGACTCACAGGTTTTAGAGCGCACAGACTCGGTAATTCTGGCTCACAGGTCCTAGAGCACACAGGCTCGGTAGTTGGGCTCACAGGTCCTAGAGTGCACAGACTCAGTAGTTCTGGCTCACAGGTGCTAGTGCGCACAGGCTCGGTAGTTCTGGCTCACAGGTCCTAGAGCGCACAGACTCGGTAGTTCTGGCTCACAGGTCCTAGAGCGCACAGGCTCGGTAGTTGGGCTCACAGGTCCTAGAGCGCACAGACTCGGTAGTTCTGGCCCAGAGGTCCTAGAGCGCACAGGCTCGGTAGTTCTGGCTCACAGGTCCTAGGGCGCACAGGCTCGGTAGTTGTGGCTCACAGGTCCTAGAGCGCACAGGCTCGGTAGTTCTGGCTCACAGGTCCTAGGGCGCACAGGCTCGGTAATTCTGGCTCACAGGTCCTAGAGCGCACAGCCTCGGTAGGTCTGGCTCACAGGTCCTGGAGCGCACAGACTCGGTAGTTCTGGTTCACAGGTCCTAGAGCGCACAGGCTCGGTTGTTGGGCTCACAGGTCCTAGAACGCCCAGGCTCGGTAGTTCTGGCTCACAGGTCCTAGAGCGCACAGACTCGGTATTTCTGGGTCACAGGTCCTATGGCGCACAGGCTCGGTAGTTGGGCTCACAGGTCCTAGGACGCACAGACTCCGTCGTTCTGGCTCACAGGTCCTAGGACGCACAGACTCGGTAGTTCTGGCTCACAGGTCCTAGGGCGCACAGACTCGGTAGTTGGGCTCACAGGTCCTAGGGCGCACAGACTCGGTAGTTGGGCTCACAGGTCCTAGGACGCACAGACTCGGTAGTTCTGGCTCACAGGTCCTAGGGCACACAGGCTCGGTAGTTCTGGCTCACAGGTCCTAGGGCGCACAGACTCGGTAGTTGGGCTCACAGGTCCTAGGGCGCACAGACTCGGTAGTTGGGCTCACAGGTCCTAGGACGCACAGACTCGGTAGTTCTGGCTCACAGGTCCTAGGGCACACAGGCTCGGTAGTTCTGGCTCACAGGTCCTAGGGCACACAGGTTCGGTAGTTGGGCTTACAGGTCCTAGGGCGCACATGCTCGGTAGTTCTGGCTCACAGGTCCTAGAGCGCACAGGCTCGGTAGTTCTGGCTCACAGGTCCTAGAGCGCACAGACTCGGTATTTCTGGGTCACAGGTCCTATGGCGCACAGGCTCGGTAGTTGGGCTCACAGGTCCTAGGACGCACAGACTCCGTCGTTCTGGCTCACAGGTCCTAGGACGCACAGACTCGGTAGTTCTGGCTCACAGGTCCTAGGGCGCACAGACTCGGTAGTTGGGCTCACAGGTCCTAGGGCGCACAGACTCGGTAGTTGGGCTCACAGGTCCTAGGACGCACAGACTCGGTAGTTCTGGCTCACAGGTCCTAGGGCACACAGGCTCGGTAGTTCTGGCTCACAGGTCCTAGGGCACACAGGTTCGGTAGTTGGGCTTACAGGTCCTAGGGCGCACAGGCTCGGTAGTTCTGGCTCACAGGTCCGATGGTGCACATGCTCGGTAGCTGCGGCTCACAGGTCCTAGAGCGCACAGGCTCGGTAGTTGGGCTCACAGGTCCTAGAGCGCACAGACTCAGTAGTTCTGGCTCACAGGTGCTAGTGCGCACAGGCTCGGTAGCTCTGGCTCACAGGTCCTAGAGCGCACAGACTCGGTAGCTGCGGCTCACAGGTCCTAGAGCGCACAGGCTCGGTAGTTGCTGCTAGCAGGTTCTAGAGCTCCAGCTCAGTGGTCCTGGCGCATGGGCATCGTTGCTTGTGGCACATGAGTTGAGTTTAGTTGCCCCAAGGTGTGTGGAATCTTCCTGAACCAGGGTTCGAACCCATACCCCCTGCATTGGCAGGCAGATTCTTACCCAAAACTGTACCACCAGGCAAGTCCAAAGGTTGGTTATTTTTAGGCAGTTTCCCCAAAACAAACAATTTGTACTTCTGTAAAAGAAACTAGTTATGATTGTTGTTCAGTGGCTTGCTCGGGTGTGTCTGACTCTTTGCAACCCCATGGACTGCAGCATGCCAGGCTTCCCTCCCTGTCTTTCAACCATCTCCTGGTGTTTGCTCAAACTCATGTCCATTGAGTCAGTGATGCCATCCAAACATCTCATCCTCTGTCGCTCCCTTCTCTTCCTGCCCTCAATCTTTCTCAGCATCAGGGTCTTTTCCAGTGAGTTGGCTCTTCGCATCAGGTGGTCAAAGTATTGGAGCTTCAGCTTCAGCATCAGTCCTTCCAATGAATATTCAGGGTTGATTTCCTTTAGCATGGACTGGGTGGATCTCCTTGCAGTCCAAGGGACTCTCAAGAGTCTTCTTCAGCACCACAGTTCAAAAGCATCAATTCTTTGGCACTCAGCCTTCTTTGTAGTCCAACTCTCACATCCGTACGTGATTACTGGAAAAATCATAGCTTTGACTATGGGGACTTTTGTTGACAAAGTGTTGTCTCTCTAGGTTTGTCATAGCTTTCCTTCCAAGGAGCAATCGTCTTCTAATTTCATGGCTGCAGTCACCTTCTGCAGGGATTTTGGAGCCCAAGAAAATAAAGTCTGTCACTGTTTCCATTTTTCCCCTTCTATTTGCTATGAAGTGATGGGGCTGGATGTGGATGTGTTTTAATTCATGTCTGCCAGCCTTTGCCGAAACACTGGAGCTTAGAGAACTGGAGGAAGTCTTTCAGATTTGAGCCCTGTTGAGAAACATTGTTCTATAGGATGACCATAAAACATGGAGTTCCAAGAGTTACTTGGAAATGGTATTATCTTATCTCTGAGTTAATAATTGATGTGACACCATGGACTATAGGCCACCAGGCCCCTCTGTGTATGGGATTTCGCAAGCAAGAATACTGGAGTCGGTTGCCATTTCCTTGAGGGAATCTTCCCCACCTAGGGATCGAACCCAGGTCTCCCACATTGTGGGCAGATTCTTTACCAAGTCTGAGCCACCAGGAAAGCCTGTTAATAATTCATATCTACAAAAAGGTTTTCAGCTATTTGGTAATATAATAGAAAAAATTTTGTGTATCAAGTTCTAGACTCTTGTTGATTTTGACATACCATTGCATTCAAGAATTTTATTTATTTTTTAAAAAATATAAAGATCTTTTAAACATTTTATTTACAGTGTTGTGTAAGCTAAGTGATCAGTGATGATCTTTTCTATGTAGGTGCATTTGCCCCAAATATAAGATATGTATTGATTTATTAAAACTTTTGTTTAAATATAAGCTGTGTATTTTTCAACACAAGTGTAAAAAATAGAAAGGAAACATTTACTTGTTCTCACATATTTCAATAGCTGTGAATAGATTCATGGTAAATAACACTTGCTGAACACCTGCATGACAGGCACTCAAGCTTAATAAGGTTTGAACTGTAATGTAAATAAATAGCATTATTAAGAGTGTACTATTAATTTTTTTGGTTTTGGTGTTGAACATGACTAGTTGATATAAAAAAATCAGCAATAAAAAGGTTTTAGCTGTCATTTTTTGCTTTTATCTACAAAACAGGTGTGTGTCTGTAAATAATATTAAAGATTACTGAAATTACAATAAAAATTTAGTTTTTTTGGCTTTTGTTAACTATAACTTATCATGAATACTTATTATCTTGCATATTGTAAGCCATATTCTTAATGGAGTGTGTTTTTAAAGGTCTGATATATGAAAATAGAGGATTATAACAGAATAAAATAAATGACTTCTTTAATATCTTCAATGGTAAATTAATCATTAGTCAATATATAGAATAAAAATTATGTAAGTATCCCAGGATTTTTTTCAGCTCTGGTTCAAACATTGTGTCTAAAAGCATGGAGGATAATGGTGTGGGGAGACTGCCAGCTGATAAATTTAGCAATTGACTTTATCAGTTTAAACAGACACCCTTTTCCCCTTAACCTCCTCCTGAGGCATATAATTGTTCTACCCATAATAAGAAAACAAAAAACAAGGACCAAGTGTGAAATGTCGCTCTAATATTAGTACCTGTCCTTGGAAGGGCTGTCAGCGAAACTATAGGATCTTTTTGCTTTTAACCATTGAATTTCTAGAAAAGCATATTTAGAGCTATGTAATTTTAATGTGTGAATTTTAATGTTTGAATTTCCCACGTTAGTATAATAATGGAATGAAAAAAATTTTTAAATCTTTTTCTGAAGGAAAAATAAAAGTCAGAGTTTATACAGGTGAGAACACATAATTGATGTTGTTAACAAATAAACATGGAAGAGATTGCCAAAATCTTGTTGACTTGTGTTCAGAAGTTATGTTAAAAATGTAGTTTTGGAGTTAAGAAAATGTGTTTTATAAAGGATCTTGAGGTTTGTTGATTAACTCAACTTTAAACCTGAGTTGAGTACTGTGCTTCAGGAAATTATTAAAGCTGTTTAACATAAAAATGGATTTATAGAAATGTAGACTATGGTATAACTATATAAGTAGCTTACAATATATTTGAATGCCAGTTTTACCATTTCTTAACAGATGTTAATTTATATTGAGTTCAGTTAGTGAGTTGCTTTAGTGTAGGATATGAATTAAAAAATAAATAAAATAATACAGTTTTCTTTTTGTGATGTTATAGGGGTGAATTCCAGTGAGTGTGAAAGAGTATCAAGCAAACAAGAAATGTCAGGAGAATTTGAAGCCAACACCATGGATTCTCTGGTAGATTTTCCATTTGCTACCATAGATATTAAAGATGACAGTGAAAGTAAGTAATTTATTAAATAAATATGTGTTTAGAAGCAATGAACAGTAAATTTAGTGATACGTATTTTTTTCTTAATAAACTGTTTTACCTTAAGTATTGCTGTGGTTTTGAGTTTGGGTAGTTAATTAATAATTGTTCGGCTCCATAGTAAAGGATCCGCCTGCCAATGCAGGAGATGTGAATTCGATCCCTGGGTCAGGAAGATCCCTTGGAGAAGTAAATGGCAACCCACTTCAGTATTCTTGCCTGGGAAATCCCATGGACAGAGGAGCCTGGTGGGCTACAGTCTGTGGGTTTGCAAAAGAGATGGACGTAATTGAGTGACTAAACAACAACAGGAACAACTCTCAAGATGATTGTAATCCTTTACTATGACCCTAAGGTTAAGTTAAATGATAAGGTTAAGTTAACCTTAACTTAAATCAAGGTTCAAAACAGTAGTTCAGTGAGTTTTCCTTCTTTCAGTCATACGTCTTTCCTAAATGCGGCATTCAGTTCTCCTCATTGAATTATTTTACCTCACCGAATTCTAAGTCTAGCTTTGTAATTATTGGAGATTTTAGAGATACTGGAAATCACCATGTTATTATTTACTCATTAGCTAATACTATTAAGTTGCATATTAAAAATACTTCAGATCTTAAGTATTTTAAAGTATTGATTAAAACCTTATTTACTTGAAAAAAAATTTTAATAGAAAAATGTGTATCAAATAAAGATTGAATCTTAGTACTTGGTATAGTAAGTGATTGTCTTGAGCCAGTTTTTAAAAAAGTGTAAATTGTGTCCTGTATTTCTCTGTAATTTATTGGAGAAGTCTGTAATGTTTATTCCAAATTTTATTATTAAAGGACTTAAGGCAAATATTTGTCCCAAATAAGAAAAAATGATTGTTGCCTGGCAAAGGATGTAAAAGATAAAGCTCAGTTAGTAAATAAATAAATGGAAAATTATTCAACTCCATAAGTATCAAAGGATGCACATTAAAATATGATTGTAACTTATCAGATTGGGAACATCACTCAAAAATAATACTCTGTGATTTTAAGGTTATATTTTTGTGGCTTCTGACAGTGTATTGTTGTGGTAGTCCTTTTAGAGTGGGGTTTATTGGGATCTTAAGCAGTGTTCATACATGGGGTGGAGTCACTCATGGAATTCCTAACATAAGGACATATTCTTACTTGTGGGAAGAGGTTTTATTTATAAACATGTGTCACAGTGTTTTTAAGTAGTAAAAGTACTGCCAGAAAGCCCAAATGTCCGTTAGACTGTGGCTGAATAAGCTATACCAGTGCCTTTAGGCTACATAGTATTGAATTACATATTATGAATATATTTCTGGAAACTATATAATGGGGAACATTTCTAAGTCACTTCAGTTGTGTGCAACTCTGCAACCGTGTGGACTGTAGCCCTCCAGGCCGCTCTGTCCATGGGATTCTCCAGGCAAGAATACTGGAATGGATTCCCATGCCCTTCTTCAAGGGATCTTCCCCACCCAGGGATGGAACCCTCAATTCTTACCCATGGCCTGCTGCATTGGCAGGAGGGCTCTTTATCACTAGGGCCACCAGGCAAGCCCACATAATATGGAATTGCATATTATGAAAATATTTCTGAAACCTCTATAATAGGGAATCTTTCCTATGTAAAATGCAAAGTAAAAAATTAGGGGGGAAATATATGTAATGTTAGTTTACAATTGTGTAAGTGCTTTAGGTGATCTGTCACCAAAATTCATAGTGATTGTGTTAAGATAGTAGGTTTCTGAACAATTTTTTTTTCTTTATTCCTTTTTCTAATCTTCAAATTTTGTGAGCTCTTGATTCTTTTCATGAAAAAATACGATTAAGATTTTGAATTGTGGTTATAAACTTGCTTTTAAAGAAGTGTGCTTCATTGATTCAGTAAACAGGGAGCTAGAGAAGCTCATTTTTCCTTGATGTTATCCACCAAGATTTTACTAATAGTGTTCAACTGAGACGGTTACAGGTGAGGTCTGTGGAGTCAGACTGTCAAGGACAGAATTTGCTCCTATGTTTTCCTGTTCTGTGCTTTGAGCAGTTGTCTGGGCTTGCTTTCATTGTCTCAAAAATTGGTATAAAATGGTAGCTGTCTCATAAGATTGTTGACAGAATTCAACTAACTTATTAATAATGTAAAGTCCTTCCAATTGTGTGTGGCAAAGAACTTGCCTCCACAAATCTTTATTAATTTAATCTTACCAAGATTTTCTGCCTTAATAAGTTTGTCAAAATAAGTATTTAAAAATGTGTCCCTTGAAAGCAGTATTTTATAATAATATCATCAAGTGCTTCTAGCCCATCACTAAATGCTTTCCATTTCTTTGCTTAATTCTCACAGAAAATTGGAGGGGTAAATTATTTTTTTAGAAAGTTTTAGTAATTTGCTAAAGATTATTCAGAGTGCTTAGTCACTCCAGTCGTGTCTGACTCTCTGTGACCCCATGGACCATGGCCCGCCAGGCTCCTCTGTCCCTGGGATTCTCCAAGCAAGAATACTGGAGTGGGTTGCCATTTCCTTCTCCAGTGAGTGAAGTGAAGTGAAGTCGCTCAGTCATATCTGACTTTTTGCAACCCCATGGACTGTAGCCTACCAGGCTCCTCTGTCCATGGGATTTTCCAGGCAAGAGTACTGGACTGGGTTGCCATTTCCTTCTCCTTATTCCGAGTAATTCTATGAAATATAGAAGGTAATAGTCTATGCTGTATACTTAAATTTTAAGAATGGTTGCTTCAGAGATTTGATGGCATAAGTAGCAAGAAAACAAGAAAAAGATTATAAAAGCAAAATTGAATTCACTCAGTCTTTTGGCTAACAGCAAGTGTAAAAAACAGTCAACCAACAATAACAGATGGACTACATTACATTAATTTCTCTCATAATTCATTTCCTTGTAGTTTTTTGAGAGAATTAAAACGCCTTTAAGAAAATTAGATAATTTACATTAAAATGACACATGTGGTGCTTTAGGTAAAAAAAAGTCAATACATGGATGAGTTACAGCCTTTGTCAACAAGACCAGATTCATTAGAGCACATTAAAATGGCTACTGAAATCATTACGAAAATTAACAAGTATAATAAATTAAATTTATGGAATGGGTTTACAAGCTTTACTACAACTAATACTTTTTTTCTGCTGAACAGTAAAAGTTACTCTAAATAATCTGGAGAAAGATCCAGGGCACATGGCCAAAGCTTTCTACATTTTGCTTCTATTGTGATTGATCTTTAATGTTTTTATTGTAAACTTGATGTTACTTGAATACTTTGCTCATTGTATTTTCATATGCGTTAAATAAAAGTGTTAGTCACTCAGTCGTGTCCCACTCTTTGTGACCCCATGGACTGTAGCCCACCAAGTTTCTCTGTCATGGAATTCTCCAGTCAAGAATACTGGAGTGGTCATTCCCTTCTCCAGGGGATCTTCCCGACCTAAGGAAAATAAAAAGATAATAGTAAATTGTATTTTAGAACTTAGATTATGATTTAAAAGTTATAAATAAAATGAAGTTCAGTGAGGAAAAAAGGGATTTTATACTCTGGTCATACAAATAAACCTGCTAATGAAAGGCATAGAAGATATGCAAACAAGTGTCTAGCAGGTTGACCATAAATCAGCAGGACTCACTGAAATAGAAAAACACAAGCATACTACTTACAAGTGTAAATTAAACTGTACTGTAACAGTAAATACAGGATTATTTCCCCCCTTTATTTGTCCAGCTCATATCAGATTATTTTAAACTTTACCCTATCTGTGATGTCTAACAAAAGAAAAACTTTAGATAATCCAGTTCAAAGGAAAGCTTAATAGTTATTGATAAAAGGAAGCTAAGGGAATTTAGAAAAATGCCCTACTTCTTTATTTTTATTAAGAGGTTGTATTCTGAACTGTGGGCTTTACGCTGTATCATTCTCATGATACTGGAATTGTTAGAGCTATTATAAATTATAACTATTACCTTCAGAGATTACGATTTTCCTTCTCTGAATATCTGCAAAATGGACTTAAGGAGCATTTGAAATGGCAAAAATAAGTAGTTACAGACAGGAGGACTCTTTAGTTTTAAACAGGTAAGCTATAAAACAACTAAAATACTGAAGACTCCAGTGGTCTGTGCCTCTGCTTAGTACTGTTTATATTGAGTAAAACACAGCAAAACTGTGTCTTATGTTCAAAGTAAGACATAGATTTTGCAGTGCCACCCAATATACATATATATGTAGAAAACTGAAATTTCATGAAGTAATACTTACATATACCAGCAGCAGTATACTGTTTACCATTCTGTTATTTTGTTTTGCTTTCCTTCCCATTCCAAGCTGTCCATTCTGGTTATTAAAAAGTACTTTTAAAAATTATCTTCTATGGTGATTTCATAACCCACTAATGGGTTGATACTTGCAGTTTGAAAAATGAAAAGGTAGATTATAGGTTCTGGATTCTCTCTCTACCATGTTAATTTTGAGATGAACTAAAGGTTATAAAATCAACTGGATTATTAGTTTGGCCACCGTTCTTTATTTAATTTCTGCATCTCTTGTGTCTCGTGCTTTGGCAGGCAGATTCTTTACCAGTTGCGTCACCTTGGAAGCCCAGTTTCAACATAAAATATCTTAATTAGTACAGATGTAATAGCTGTTGGCTCTGTTATTCCAGATCACAGATTATATTAAAATTGGTTTCCTTTTCCTGAGTGCCAGTTTAATAACAGCAGATGGAGGTGGGCTTGGAATGTATTTAGAAGTGGATTTAAAATATGTGTACTTCATTAGCATATTATATTGTAGCTTCTGTTTAAAGTTAGTTTAGTTCATGTTACTACAAAGTAAGGACTGTTTCTTATATGCATCTGAAATTACAAGCAGCTCAACATATTTGATTTTCCAAATGAAAAAAGCTTCATGGAGATAAAACCCAGGGGCACCACATGAGGCAATTCAGATACTGCTCATGCTTGACAGGTGGTGCTAGTGGTAAAGAATCTGCCTGCCAATGCAGGAGACGCGGGACCCAGGTTTGATTCCTGGGTTGGGAAGATCCCCTCGAGGAGGAAATGGCAACCCACTCCAGTATTCTTGCTTGGGAAATCTCATGGACAGAGGAGCCTGGCGGGCTTCAGTCCATGAGGCCGCAAAGAGTTGGACACGACTGAGCATACACACACAAGACAATGCGGATGAGAGTGCTGTGAACCTTTTATAAAAGTTCTGACAAGCTCACATGTATAGAAGAAGCTACTTTATATTTCAAATTTGTATTCTCTGTGAAGGTATGTCATTTTAACCATATTAATCATTATGCATATTGTTGAGAAGTTTAATAGAGAAATGGTTGCACAAACAGACCAGTTAATTCGGTCTTAACCTATAACAATACAGTCAGACTCATTACCCAGATCACCTTGTTCTTAATTGACCCGTCTTCTACGTCTCCTTCTAGGCTTCACAGATATGTTGATCTTAGAAAGAAAGCATGTCTGTTCCCACAAATGCTTAATTTTTAAATTTTAAACATTTTCTACTATTTTTCTTAGAAGTTCGCGTTAAAATATTATTTGCAACATTCACTTAAAATTATTTACTATTAACATTTCAAAGAAAAACAGAATAAGGACAGTTTCTTCTGCTCTTTGATTTTGTTCATAGTAGTAACTACTTATCTAGAACCACAAGAGGGAAGCGATTTGTTCCAGTGGAAATTACACTAGAAGGAGAGCTTTGAAAGGTCCGGATACCAGGTTTGACTCTGTGACACTGAACTGTTTTTAAAACTTTTTTTTTTTCTCTTCTGTTCATTGTATGTAAAATAAGGAGTTTAGTTAGATATGCACAGATCTTGTCCTCTTGGTCACTATGGTTTGTTAGAGCTGATCTCAAAGATGAGACCAACTTCATAAAATTGAATCTAAGGCAAGGTACTTCCTCCTCCTTTCCAAAATCATACCTTGGAAGATATAGTTATATTTGCAGTTTACAAAGTCGCTATGAGGTACTCTGCTGTTCAAGAAGACACAACCTGAAATATAAATTAATGGTAGTTTTCCATGCATGTGGAAGCCCCTGATAGAATCTGTTTTTTAAAAAAAAAAAAAGAATTTCGCACTGATTTGGAAGTTACTTCTAGGAGTATAGTTTCATAATAAAAATTGTTGGTTGTTAGAAATGTCTTTTGAAGATGACTTTAAAAAGAATGCTAAGTGTTTCTCAAGTTAGCTATGGTCAAGGACTATTTTTTTTTCCTTTAGTCTCTTATTTGTTGCTGGCTGATACTTTTGTAAAATACATAATAAAACATTAAATATTAGAAAAAAATTAAAGAAAAAGATCTGCAAAACAGAAGCCAGAATTTAACAGGCAAAATTACTTTGCCTACTTGCCCTGAAAGTTTATAAAGCATCCTCTCAGTTTTTGCTAATTGTTTGTAGTGTGACATTAGCCAGAAATTGAACTTTGAGTGGCACTGCCGCAAGTGATTTTCTTGTAAAAGTTAGGAATATACATATTACAGGATGGAGAAAAAATGATTTTTTCCTAGCATCATGAAAATTGTGGCAAGGAGAAGAGAACAGTTGTTAGTTATGCTTCAGATCAGAGGTAAGTGCACCATGGCCCATGGGCCAGATCTGACTATCTGCTTTGTAAATTAAAGTTTTATTGGAAAACATTTGTACCCATTCAGCTGTATTTTGTCTACAGCTGACTTGGGTCGTTAAGACTGTATGATCCTCGAGGCTTGAAATATTTATTATGAGGTCTTTTACAGAAGAATTTGCCAATTCCTATTTTAGATTTGAAAATGACAATTATGAATGATTGCTAGTTGTATAGTACTTGTTTTTTTTTTTTTTTACTGATTATATCATCTTTGTTTAAATGCATTAGACTTATTATTGTTTGACTTTTTTTCTCTAGTCACTGATGTTCCTAAAGTAAATTTGGAGAGAAGTAAAGAAAATGAATGCAACAATAAAGATCAAATAAAGAAGAGGAAAAAAAAGCGAAAAGATTATCAACCCAACTATTTCCTATCCATTCCAATCACCAACAAAGAGGTGCTTTTTTTTTTTAAGAAGTATTTTTACTAGATTTTATTCTAAATTATATTTAAGGTGCACTAAATGCTCGTAAGCCCTTTTGCTTTCAGCTTTTAAGAGTCTTCAGTGGCATTTTAGCTGGGCAGGAAATATGGAGTATACACACACACATACAGAATATAAAATACAGGGACTGTACAATATATTTCAACAATAATTTTGAAAAATATTATTTAAAAAATCATATTTAAATGACAGTTTTACAAAAGCCACTTAAAAAAAATGTTGCCAGATAGCATGTCAAGGTTCTTTCTAAAGTTTTGTTCATCATAATGGAAGAATCTTTCAGAAACACAGAGCTGGTAAAAAAAAAAAAGATTCTGAAATCTCTGTGGGGAAAGTAAACTGCTTAGTCCAGTTTATAGTAATGACTGTTGCAATATAGTTTCTTCAAAAATTACTCATTGTTGTGCCAACTTAATGGTGTACACTAAACTTGGTAGAAATCTATTAAAAGTCTGAAAATTTAATGTGGCATCAATAATAGGAAATGAAACCAGCCCATTGGCTTACAGTAAGATACCCTAACGTATGACTGAGAGAGAAAACTAGTAGGTAGTAAGCCTTTTAGAGCAGTGAGGTAGGAATTATAATGCCTTAGGAGAGAACACTTCATTTGGAAGACTGACTGCTTCTATACTTGGCCCAGTTTAAAGTCTTCAGAGCTAGATCTGAATTCCTGTTTTATGGACTCTGATCTCTTAACTGGGCGTATTTTCAGGCTGTTCCTCCCTTTATTTAACTAGAATGTTTCTACAGAATGCTAATGAGTTTTTAAATATCAAAGCAAACAAAATTGAAATCAAAGAAATAAATATAAAAGAGAACAAATTCTGTTGGGGCATTCTAGGAAACTTCTAGTCTGTGAGGGACAGTTCACTTGGGAAGAAAAGATACTTAGATAAGTGGAATTATCTAGCCATACGGAATTTTAGAATTTGATACAGTAAAGAATCAAAGTTTAACTTTACTGGTATGTAGTGGTAGGTTAACTGTAAAATAGCCCTTAAGTGTTTAGCCGATGGCAAGTTTAATGTTTTTGACAACTATAGATTCCATTAAAATACTTGTAACTTATTCAGACAAGTTTTCCATAAGATTTAGGATCTTGTGTACCTATGGGCATTGTAGGAGAGCAGGTTAGGTCCTGAGGAAACTGCATGTGAAACAGGCCAAGTGACATCCCCATATTTTTTGTGATTGGAAGAGATGCCAGTTTCCTTATTTTGGTTTCTTGCTTAGAAATTGCTCCACTCCAGAGTCTGTGTGTAGAAGTTGGGTGAGCTCTTCTCTAAATAGCTGTTCCTGGTTCCCCTGGTGTGAACAGCCGCTCTGCATTCCCTCCAGGCTGCCCCAGCCCCTGCCAGCGCTGGGCTGGCTTCCCACCTCGTCCAGTAAAGATTGGTGGGGGGATGTGCTAGGATAAGGCCGGTGGGGAAGGGTATTGAGGGGAGAGAGGATGGAGAGATTCCTTTCTTCTGATGCTTAGATTGGGACTCAGGTCACAAAGATGGGAGGAGGAGATGAAAGAGGACCATGTACAACCCTTAGTTTTTATCCTGTAAGTCACTGTAGCCTTTGTTTCTGCCTCCTTGCTGCTGGCAGGTTCTGTAGAAAGTGGGTATAGTACAGGCTTTGGAGCCTGACCAGCCTTGCTCAGATAGCAGCCGGATCACAAATGCCACTGTGAATGTTGGTCACATTACCTAATTTTTGTAGTTTCAGCGACTTGAGGTGTAAAGTGAAGGTGATAATGATTATTTTCTAAACCCAAATTTGGACACATCACTGTCCTTATGCACTTCAGTATCTTCCCATTGATACTTGGATAAAGACAAAGGCTTTACCATATTCTAGAAGGTTCTATATGATTTGACCTTCTCCATCTCAGCCCCTCTGACCTTGTTTGAACTTGCCAATCCCACCTCCCCTGCCAGCAGGAAAGCTTTCTCTGGCTAGAAGTTTTCTTTTCTCTCCTTTGGGTTTTGTTAATGCCAAAATCTTAGCTTAAACTTCTCCTACCCCTGAGCACCCTGACTAGGTCACCCCCTCCCCCCGACGTTGTCATCCTTGAAATCTGACACTTGTTGGTCCTCCTCACAGTTTGACAGCCCCTCCCCAGTACCTAGAACAGAGTTTGGCAGGAATAGAGGCGCACACACAAAATACTGTCATTTCAGGGCAGAAGATGTTTCCAGAATGCCAAATTCCAACCAGAACAAATTTACAAATAATAGATACAGTGTTACACATGCTGGTTTTCTGTAATATAGGTTCAGTGATAGTTTGTTTTCCAGGAGGTCCATGACTTGTAATAGTGGGGCACACAAGTTTCAAGTAACCTGGAAACCAAAGAATTTCATGTTTCTCTCTCAAGTGACTGATTTGTGGGTAACAAAGCTTAATGCCTATATATGGGGAGGAGGATTAGGGACTAGGACAAGATGAGGAAGATCTTTTTTATATCTTCTGTATGAGTACCTTTTTTGTTTCTTTGAAAGTATCTAATGTTAATTTCTTTTGAAACTGCCTATGGGCTTTTGTGGGGAGTCCTGGGAAAAGGAGCAGCATTTATAACATTGTTTCAATGGGAGACTGTATTCCAAGTTCCAATTAAGTGACCTGCAAACAAGCTTTTGGAAGCGAGCACATTGACAATGAGCTGCTCTACTTTTGGCTTCTACTTGCTGGCATCTAGTTTTAAAGGAAAAAGGATTCAGGCTTACATGGGTCTTTATTAGTAGACATTTAGAATGCTTTAGTTTTGGAAGGTCATGATTTTCATATTTTTAAGAGATAGGTTTGGAAAATGAATTAGAATGACTGCATGAAAATATCCTAATTGCATGTATATGAGAATGTGTTTCTCCATTACCCACAATTACACATTAATTTAAAATTAAAAATAAAGAGAAGTTGAATGGTATTTTAGTGAATCCTAAATATTTCTTAACTGGCTAGAATTGCTTAATTATTAGTTCTAGGTGGATTTGCCCATATATTGGTTTAATATACTTTCTTATAAGAGGTAATAATACAAGTCAACATTGAAAAATGCAAGGGAAGCTAATTGAAATTAAGAATGCATTAAATTTTTGGTAAGATGACTGTTCTATACCAATGGAAAAATATGATACTCTTTAGGAGTTTTAAAAGGTATTTGTTATATTTAATTCTGTATTTCATTTTCTAATGTGAAAATTACTGGTCTTATGAAAATATGAAATATGATTTATGTGTTCTGTTCCTTTCTGGGAAATGTAATTGTGAAAGTACATGATGTTTAACATGCATGTTAAACACTTTGGTAGATACAGAAAATTCTCTTATCTTCAGATGATTTTTTACTTTTACTCTGCTTACCGCTTTATCATCAGATTTTCAAGTTTTTTTTCATCCTGTGGACAAGCAAGAAAAATGACTATATTCATCTTTGAAGAGATGTTAGGTAGCAAATTGATGTGATAATTCTCTTAAACCTTAATGAGGCAGCAAATTTAGGAATGATGTATGTTAACAGCTTAGGAAGAAATCCAAAAATAATGTCAAAAGATGAGGTAAAAGATACTGTCCTTCTGTGTGCTAGACTATAACCACTCTCCCTCACATACTGACTTGAAGGCATTTTCTTTGAGCTCATTTATGCTTTGAATTAACTAGAAAGCTTAACAAAAAATACCGAAATTTCTTATTGCTTTTATTTTTAGGCATGTGGAATGTGGCTTCATGGTGAGGTTTAGCAGTTGCGTGTCTGTTTTTATTCTCTAAATACAAAGAAATTACTCAGTGAATGAAATATTTAAGATTTTAATAAGCTTTTATTTTTTAAAGTTTCTTTCAGTGTCCTATTTAAATATGGCTCTGCAATGTTAGGCTTAAAAAATGTGCATTGTTCAATACTGCCAGTGGCTGGGGATTATAACAGATAAGCTTCAATGGCTTTGTAGAAATTTAAACAGTGGTTATAAAAATTAGTTTCCTTTGGCCTTTAATGACATTGGTACTTTTAAAAATGGCATACAGAGAAGACTCTGAAGTAGTTTCCTTTTTTCTTTTTATCTTTTAAGAATGTAATTAGGAATAAAAAGCATTAAAATTTTTTAAAGATGATATCAAGGAATATATAAATTAATCTGAGGCATCAAAGCATAGTTAGATATACATTACTTGATTAGGTTATCTTTTAGAATTTTCATAGGTTGAGGTTAATTTTGCATTTTAAGTACTGTGTGGCTTCAGAGAAATAGTCTTCAAAAGTTTTATAGATTTTAATTTGCAATTTTATAAGCTACTGGATAATTCAAAGATATGAATGGTCTATAACTCTTTTGCACTAAATAATAGGACATTACACTAAAATGCTGAATATACAAATGGATGGAAATTTTTGAGCATTGTCCTGAATTTATATATAATTAGTATTTGAGCTTAGGATAAAGACTACATTTTTATGAAAATGCAGATACTCTACCCGCTAAGTGCAATGGCAAACCCCAGGTGTGACCATGAAAATGTCTCTAGGCATTGACAGATGTCCCCTGGGGTAGAGGACCCCTGATTTTGATAATATTGGCAGTTTTGCAGACCTTATATTAGGCAAATGTGAAGTGCTTTCCTTTAGCTTGTGTGCCGTCCTGTAGCTTGGGTGTCGACCTTTAACACATCCCTGTAACTTTGGCAGTGCTTTACAATCGAAAAGAAACCAAGACCCAGTGAGACTAGGTGATGTCTGTGGGGTTACACCTGTGGCTGACCTGTGATTAAAATCCAGGATTTCTGATGCAAGTCCGCACCCCTAATTTGCTTCACTTTTCATTAAAAAGTTCTCATCCTAAACCACTTTTTCACGATTATTTAAGCCAGAATTACCATTTGTGCCAGCTAGTATTTGAAGATGCAGTTATACTGTACTGAGGTCTGACATTCTAGAGCATGCACCATTTACTTAGCACTGGGCTAGGTTCTTCCCGCATGAACATGGACCTTCTTCAGCTGCGTCAGTGTTCCTGGAAACCAGTCCAGGACTTCACTGCACCCGGAAAAATCTCTGTAAAATCCTTGAAGAGTAGTGTGGGCTTACACCAAAGGCATTTTTGAGCCCATGTGTTATATTGGGATTTCCCTATAGCTCAGATGGTAAAGAATCTGCCTTCAATGCAGGAGACCCAGGTTCGATCCTTGGGTCGGGAAGATCCCCTGGAGAAGGAAATGGCAACTGACTCCAGTATTCTTGCCTGGAGAATCCCGTGGACAGAGGAGCTTCGTGGGCTGCAGTCCATGGGGTTGTAAAGAGTCGGACATGACTGAGTGACTAACACACCCACATGTGTTCTGTCACACACGGTTCAGTAAGACTTCCTCAGAACCTCCTTTAAGTGTCTTTTTGCCCTTGGTGTCTCATGACTTGAGTCAATACCCTCATGTCACCACTCTCCTGTCTCCTCTCAAAAACGCATTCCTCGTACCTTTTCTTCCACAGTTCTCTGGCCAATTTTCCTCCTCCTCACTCCTGGATCTTTTCCTCCAGATATTTCCCTCATCTTTTCTCATCTATTGTAATTTATCTTTTTCTCAAGTTCCTCTGCTATTTTGGGTATTGAAAGTGGCTGTTGAAAGTGAAAGTCACTCAGTCATGTCCAACTCTTTGCGATCCCATGGACTACACAGTCCATAGAATTCTCCAGGCCAGAATATTGGAGTGGGTAACCGCTCCCTTCTGCAGGGGATCTTCCCAACGCGGGGATCAAACCCAGATCTCCCGCCCTGCAAGCATATACTTTACCAGCTGAGCCACCAGCAAAGCCCAAGAATACTGCAGTGGGTGGTATAAAATCTTGAAAAGTTTTTAAAAAATTTTCTGTGTTTCAGTTTATTTTAGTGGAGACAGTACCAATACCTACTTCACAGGATTGGTGGGAGGCTTAGTGAACTGATGGATGTAAAATGCTTACTCTAGTGCCTGAAACCTAGTGACCACACAAGAAGGGAACTGTTGTTTCAACGTTGTTTATTTGTATTACCAAGAACTGTGGTGAGACATGGAGAGGAAGAAATATGCCCTCGGGGACACCATTAATTTGCTCAGTGTAGAGGTAGAGAAAACCCTGACTGTAAGACCTTTATGTATTATGATGTTAGGAGCATTTTAACTACCAGGCTATCAGTATTCTTTTGTTGGGTGTCTCGGAAGTGACATCTTACCTTGGGAAATCTTAGGTGTTATTGCGTATTGTCCTACCAGGAAAACACTGTTTCCCATGATACTGTTCTCCAGGTTGCAAGGAATACAGAAGTGCTGAGGTTATTTGGGTGAAGAGGATTTATTGTAAAGATCTGTGGGAAGTCAGATCCCAGGCCAGCACCTCATGATTTGCCCAGTCACAGTCTGCAGATAATGGGAAGATTGTTCAGGATGAAACAGCTTGTCTGTATGGGAACGGCCTGCTGTGCCCGTGATTCAGCTCTTTCTTATCTCTGCTGTCTCTTTGGGGTTCTGCTGCTATTGCCAGTCTCCTCTCTTGTCTTTTTCTCTCTCATGCTGCTGCCTCCAGGTTTCTACGTGCACTCTTTTCTCTGGGGATTGCTTGGTTTGCTAGTTTATATTCTAGTTATTTTCCATTTAGAAGCTGGCTAATACTGTCTCTGGGCTTCCCAGGTGGTGCTAGTGGTAAAGAACCCGCCTGCCAGTGCAGGAGACGTAAGAGACACGTTTGATCCCTCAGGCGGGAAGATCCCCTGGAGAAAGGAATGGCAGCCCTCTCCAATATTCTTACTTGGAGAATCCCGTGGACAGAGGAGCCTGGCGGGCTGTAGTCTGTAGTGCTGCAAAGAATCGGACATGACTGAAGTGACTTAGCACACACAGTATTGTCTCTAGCTGGAAATAGAGGAGGGAAAAGCCATCATTCCTCTTTGTTCTTAGTAGGTTGAGAGGGGTGAGCTGATGAGGGACCAAGGATTTTTGTTGGATAAAGACTATAGTTTTTTAAACACACGCGTTTAGCCTTCTGTGCAGCTCTCTCACCATGGTTATGCCCCGCCTCACAATGTCTGGGGAAATGACAGCGGTCATTCCTGTTGAATTATTGCTGTCCTGAGAAATCTTAAAGGCCATGAAGAATGGATTCTCAGACACATTCATTTGGAGACAAATAAATATTATTGCCAGCAGAAATGGAATGTTGTCTGCTGATTTGACCTTTCTGTGGCAAGAATAAAACTTTTATTTTTAGGAAAGATCATAATGATAGTGAGTCATACTGTATATTCCGAGGATAAGTTTCTGAAAAGATACATAGCCATTGAATTTTTCCACTCAATCAGGGACCCAGTCTGTAAAAGAAGGATGTTGGACTTGATGCTCTTAAGATGGATAAGCATTATGTAATTTTTAAGACATTTATACATCCCATTAAACTTTCCGAGTTGTCCCTCCAGGATATTTAAGAATAGGTAGACAAACATGATTTGATTGAAAATCTTGACCGTGTTCTCATTTTAGTCGTTACTTATTTTTTTCTCAATTTGAATGTCCCTGTAAGGAAATGTTGCTTACCTAATGTCTGTTTTGTCTGTGTGTGATTAGATTACAAAAGGAATTAAGATCCTGCAAAATGCAATAATACAACAAGATGAGCGACTGGCCAGAGCAATGAGCAGTGATGGTTCCTTTCATATTACCCTGCTAGTGATGCAGTTACTGAATGAAGATGAAGTCAACATGTGAGTACTACATCTTTCTGGAATATTGTTTTCCAAGTTATTACTTTAATATGAGTAAACATAACAGAACCCAAAGAGGCATTGAAATTCTAAAGAAGCATTCTTTGTTATAATTTGTTCAGTCAACAAGCCAGTGTACAGAATCAGCTGTACAATATTCTTCCTAATCTGTATTTTTTTTCCTTCTGTGACACATGGCTTGTGGGATCCTAGTTCCCCAACCAGCGACTGAACCTTTGTACCCTGTAGCGGAAGTGCAGAGCTTAACCACTGGACCACCAGGGAACTGCCCCTAATCTATACTTTTGAACTGTGTTATTGTTATCAGATGCATTGGTTATGCAGTTATTTTGTCCATGTTAATTATGTAAGCACTATGGAGTCTGTCCATTTAGGTTAGGATTCCAGGTAAAGATTCTGGAATCATGTCTTAATAGCTGCTCAATTTTGGGCAAATCACTCTTTAAGTAAATGGAGAAAATCATAGCACTGACACATGTAAACGCTCTTAGTATAGGGCCTGGCGCATAGTAGGCACTTAATATTATTAGCTATTAGAACTGTAATTTATTAGATCAGTGGACAGTTTTCAGTCTCACCTCCCCCACTACTACAATACTGTATACCCTGCACCCCGAAACCCAGAGTTGTGCCACAGAAGTTGAGTATGAGTCTTTGATTGCTGTTTTCCAGCCCACAGTGGAGAAACCTTGCTCATCCTCCACTTCTCTGGGACACTGTTGGAATGAGCGCCCCTTGTTCTGTTACCCATTGTGTAGCTCTCTAGATTAAACTCAAGCTTAAGCTCTTTGGATAGCCAAAGCCAGAATTACAGGTTACAGCTTACTTCTATTTTCTACCCTGACATATAGTCTCCTGAGGGAATGAAGAATATGACTTGGATAGGGAGGGTGCAAGGAAAAGGGGAAATATAAGGGAGAAAAGAATAAAGTAGTAACTCAAAAAATAGTCAGTTTATGTCAATAGTCAGATTATGATTCTGGTGGTGATATCTTTTAAACAGTAGGACTGCATATTTTTAGGGACTGGTCTTCTCATCTGTTCCAATGTGTTCCACCCAAGAGCAGATACAATGCCAGAGAGGACCAGAAGGTTTTACTTAACTCACGTTCACTGTTCGCTTTGCCAGTCAGAAGAAAAGAAGGAAATACTCTGATGCTCTTAAAGGAAAAGAAGAGAAAATGTGACAGAAGAAGATGCAAGCCCAAGAGGAAGTGGGTGGCACTCTGTATGTTAGAGTGGAGGGCGAGTCACGGTTCCCCAGGGAGCAGGACCAATAGGATGGGTCTTCCTTTGTTTATCTAGATATACTGATATATCTGTGTGTGCGCCACAGCGGTGTGTAGAGCTTTATTTGTAGGAATTAGCTCAGGTGATTCTGGGGGCTGGCAAATTTCAAACCTACAAGGCTGTCTGCCAGACTGGAGACCCGGGTGAGAGCTGATTTAAGCCTCAAGTCCGAAGGCAGTCTGGAGGAAGAATTCCTTCTTCCCTGGGGGGCCTCAAAGAAGAATGTGCTTCCGCACAGATAGGAGGTTAGCGTTGAGGGAGATTTCTACCACAGGGACCTCAGGTAGTTCCTTCAATTCCCCTTTGTCTATCAGGGTATATATTAATAGATGAACCCAGAAGTTTCCTTGCTCCCTGGTAGGTAGACCTGGAAGTTCACGGAGAATCGCTGGGTCAGTCGGGGCGGGATGAGGGACAGTGGCAATGCCAGGCGTCCACGTTTCCTGATCAGAGGCCCCTGCAGAGCTCTCCTACCGCAGCAGGCCCTGCCAGTGCGGTGCCTGGAAGGGATGCGTGACCTTTCGTGGACACCAGCGAAGGGTCCCTGGGGATATGACCAGACCAGGCCGCTCAATCGGGCATCTCTGAGAACCCAAACAGCAAGCAAACCAAAGACCTTCTTCAATCTTTATACACTGGGTTCCCTGGGAAGGAGGAGGGGAGAGGGAAGGGCAAAGCAATTCTGAAAGGAAGTTTGAGTTAAAGAATAATTGTACCACAAAGAGGCCTTTTTAAACCAAAGAAGACTGAGTTACCATTGATTGCTAAGTTTACATTTTAGCTCTATCATCGAAAATGGGTCTTGGCCATGGCATGTATATATATTTCAGTCTCTGCTCCTCAGTCTCTATTTCCCAAACAAGTATTATTTTATTTTCTTAACAAGTGTTGTGAGTCTGGCCACACAGATAGGTCATCTTTCTTGTACATATGAAGAAGCTGAGAGTTCTGGGAATTAAGCGCATGCTAGTCAATGGAGAAACCAGAACTAGTTGGTTTGCTTTATTATTGTTCCACGGAGTGTGATTGAGGGAGGGAGTGGGATGGAGACAGGAGGGAGAAGATGGGCACAGGTTCATGAAAGAGGTGGAAGAGATGAGTCTGCTGCAAGTATGAGTGGCCTCCTGTATGTAACTCAGTTGGAGAAGGAAATGGCAACCCACTCCAGTACTCTTGCCTAGAGAATCCTGTGGACAGCGGAGCCTGGTGGGCTGCCGTCTATGGGGTCTCACAGAGTCGGACACGACTGAAGCGACTTAGCATGCATGCATGCATTGGAGAAGGAAATGGCAACCCACTTCAGTGTTCTTGCCTGGAGAATCCCAGGGACGGAGGAGCCTGGTGGGCTGCCGTCTATGGGGTCGCACAGAGTCAGACACGACTGAAGCGACTTAGCAGCAGCAGCATGTAACTCAGTGGCCTCTACTGATGAACATGTTAACTGGCTAGAAATATGGTTAAGTACTGTGCAGTTGGGTTGGGGTGAGGGTGTATGTTCTCAATGTATTATAATGTCTACATCTCTCATTGGAGGTAGGACTGCCATCCCTAGGAGACTTTTAGAATTATTTGGGAGGGTGGTTGATTTTGGTCGTCACTAAGGAATGCCATGGGCATTTTATGCGCAGGGTCAGTGTTACTAAACCACCTGCAGTAAGTACATGGAACAGCCCTGAACTAGGAAGCATTGTCTTGCCCTAAATCGTGGTATCATTTGTTGAAGAGTTACTGTCCAGAGCATAGTGACACTCTGAGTCATTGAGCCCTGTGTTTTACAATGTGTGTTTGCAAATTTCAATTTTGTGTAAAAAATTAAATGGTTAGCAAGTCTGCTTGGTGTGTGAGGAATTAAAGTCACATCCTTGTGCTACTTTATAGTACTGGGAGTTGCAGTTTGCTAGAAGATGATGACCAGATACTTGCAACTTAGCAACTATTTTTGACAAAGTTGCAATGAAAAATTAAGAAATATTTGAAGTTGCTATACAGACAAGATAGTATTTTGCAGTTCAGCCAACATTATTTATCAACCACATATAAGATACTGACCTAAGTGCTTTGGAGGAAATAAAGATGAATCATGAATGGATCTTGTGCTCATGTATTATACATTACAGTTGACTGGGTCATATGGATCCAAATAACTGTAATAGAAAAATGTAAAAAAAGTGGTCTGTTTCATTAAGTATAAAATATTAATGGAATTTCAAAGGCGAGAAGATTTGCTTCTAATTTGGGGAACCAGGGAAATAAGTGTTTGTGACTGAAGTGTCAACTTTTAAGTGATGATGAGATTCAAGGTGTGGCTTCATTTTGGGTAGCTGTATAGTGAGTGAAACTGATTGGGTTTTCTGGAAGACACTGATTATGTGAAGGGTTTTCTGAGTCCCTAATCTTTTAATTTTATCTTTCATCCCATACAGTATAATATGCTAGACATCTGTATTGTCAGCATCTTGTTCTATATCCTTACTTTTCAAAATCTAGTACCATATTTTAGGTATTTAATATAAAGTACTGATCAATGGGTCAGATAAGGAGTGTGCAGAAACTTTTTTTTTTAATGTAAAGAATTTCTTCAGGTAGATGGCATGCTTTGTGTCTTCACAGTGCAGAAGAAAGAAATAGAAATGTGTTAGTCCAAATACTGATTTGAAAAGATGGATGTCCTGTCTTTGTTTAGAGTACAACCTTTGGGTCTGAATTCTAGTTTCAGAATTCTGTTTCCTACATGCCTATACCCTGTTCAGTGTACTATAAAGAAATCTTTCCATAAACAGTTCTTGAAAAGATATTCTAAAGAATTTTAAAGTCAGTGATATTTACCAAGAGGCACTGTGACTCATTTTCACTCTGTGACCAGTGATATCTCATTAGGATAAATGTATTGGTTTATATTACTACATAGTGGGAAAACTGGACTGAATTTGGATCATTTATATTTCTTTAAAGAAAAATGAAATGTAGAATTCACTGGTTCTGAAAACTCCTGACCTTTAGGATGGCCTGCTTTGCTATAGAGTTATATTTAAAGTGAGTATCTTGGTATTCATCCCCTGATTTATGGAAGCTGAGCCAGAGTAGGTGTTCTGTTTCACTTGCTTGAATTCAGCCCGTGGTGAAGATGGTACTGCAGTAGCAGCGTGTCTTTTGGGATGAACATAAATACAGACAGGAAAGATTGGATTTCAGATGTGAATTTGGAGGTCCAGTGAGAAATGTTGACATTTCTAAAGCTGTTTGGAAATATTATATATTGTTTGACAGAGAAGTAAGACCCAGTATGGAAACTGTGGATGAAAATCAGTTAAAAACTTAAAGCTAATGGAGAAATATGAAACATCTAGAAAAATGTCTAAGTTTCTTTTCACACATTTGACATCTTATTACTATTAATGAACAAATTGTTGATCAAGATAATCTAAATTAAGGTGGTTCACCAGAAGGGTATTTTAGATACCTCTCCATAATGTAAAATATCTTTCTTTCTTTCTTGAGTGATTGCTGCCCTCTAGTGAGATTTTGGTTTTTTTCTCATTATAAAGTCCCTGTACTAAAATCCTCTTAGTATGGAAATAATTGGTCTTAATTTTCAAAATATTCCAAACCTGATAATGTCTAATTCAGTAATATAGTAAACTTTTATTTTTATTAAGAAAAAATAGTGCATTTGAAACACAGAATAACCCTTTAATCAGATAGACTAAACATATACAGCAAATTTATGTCACTGTAGTTGTAAACTTGCACTTTGGTGAAGTCTAAGTATAATAAATTATCTTATTATGGAGACTGCTATATTTTAAAGAGATAATATATTTTAATTTTTAGTAAAGTGCTTCACAAATAGTTAATACTATGTAAGTATTAGTACTTTTAACAGGAACCTTGAACTTTCACATAATCTGATATAAACTTTTGTAGGTATTAGGTTTTTCTGCAATATATGGTCAGTATTTTTTTTCTTTAGTTGTGCATGCAGTATTTCCTTGGTTTAAAACCTTTTGGTAAACTATAACATAACATCTTCTTTTGTATCTTTAATATAAAATAAATTGTTATTAGGTAAAGATTAATTCACTTATATAAATTTTGTTTAAAATTAATATTAGTTTTATTTTGATCCTATGGTTTTGATTTTGAAGGTATTCTGAGCATTAAAATAATTAGTACAAATACATTAATTTATCTTTCTAAAACTCTTTCTCATTTGGTTTGGTATGTTTTACTACTTACTATATTACTAAAAATTATATTGTCTCTTGCCAGTGGTATTGATGCTCTTTTGGAATTAAAGCCATTTGTAGAAGAAATCCTCCAAGGAAAACCTTTGACTTTGCCCTTTGAAGGGGTTGACACTTTCGGAAATCAGGTTGGATTTGTGAAACTGGCAGAAGGAGATCACATAAACTCACTTTTGGAGATAGCAGGTAAAACAAACAGTGATATACTTACATGAAATCTCATTGTTGAAGAAAAAATTTTTTTCTCCCAATTGTTATAGTAGAGATTTGACATCTTTCAAATTTGGGGGGGGGGCAGTGTAGCCTCACTTTATAAGTGACCTACTTCAGCAGTTGCTTGTGTAGCTAAGTAGCCAAATAAAAGGCCAGAACAGTTACTGTATCTTGATCCTTTGACTTGGGGGAATATGTTGATTCTGGAAGATGATGGACTGGACTCAAGTATTTGTTAGGACTATCCTAATCATAAATCTGAAGGATCCAGTGCTTATCATGACATGTAGCTGGCATTAAGTAAATATTGAATGAGTTAATTAGAAATACCAGTTGCCTGTCCAGAAGCTTGTGGGGATTGTCAGCCCGTTGGGAGAGTCAGGAGACGGGTCAGTGGCATTTCCCTCTCTGCCCGCTGTGTTCCTTCCTGTTTAGGTACCGGTGTCTAAGCAGAAGGCCCATTGGTGGTGGTGGAAGGTCTGGCGGCCCTTGGAGAGCATGCTGCTTTGCACAGCACGGTTGTGAATGTTAGGGAAACTTGTTGTTCAGTTGCTCAGTCATGTCCTAATCTGCAGCCCATGGGCTGCAGCACATCAGGCTTCCCTGTCTTTCACCATCTCCCAGAGCTTGCTTAAACTCATGTCCATCGAGTTGGTGATGCCATCTAGCCATCTTGTCCTCTGTCATCCCCTTCTCCTCCTGCCTTCTGTCTTTCCCAGCATCAGGGTCTTTTCCAATGAGTGGGCTCTTCTCATCAGGTGGCCAAAGTATTGGAGCTTCAGCATCAGTCCTTCCAATGAATATTCAGGACTGATTTCCTTTAGGATTGACTGGTTTGATTTCCTTTCTGTCCAAGGAATTCTCAAGAGTCTTCTCCAACATCATAGTTTGAAAGCATCAATTCTTGGCAGTCAGCCTTCTAGGGAAACAGAAGTAGAAAATAATAAAACCTAGAAGAGTGCTTTTTTGAGATGATCCAGAGATCTTAGTTTGGGTGTTTGTGTACCTACTATAAACAATTTTTATTTTTTTCTCTCATGTCAGATCGTTTCATGTCATCCCATTTCAGGTTCAATAATCCTTAATTCATAACACTCTCTCATCATTGCTCCATGCTGGGCTTATTTTTATTTATCTATCTGTCTTAAAATAACCTCATCTGGGAATCCACCACCTAAAACACAAGCGAGAACCTTGGTAGTAATCTCACCACATTGTCCTTTTCATCATCTGTCCTTTGGCCTTCCTTCATTTAAGCTAACCATCATCTTGAAGTCAGAGTTTATTATTTCTTTGTATTCTCCCAAATTATATGTGTATTTTTAATCAGCTTTAACTTTATATTCAATAAAAAGGATATCATATTGTATGTGATCTTTTGAGACATACTTTTTAGAAAAACTCAATATCATACTGTTTTGGTAGTTTTATAGTTGCCCATTCAAAATTGTACCCATTTTGGGGAGGACAGAGGCATGAGGGTCAGATTTCATTTCATTGTTAAGTTTTTCTTTTGTGGAGCAAAGTATATATAAATAACAAACAAGCAAGCAGTTAAACAATATTTATGAGTCAAGTAGGACTTAAAATCATCAGTTGGCCAAGGAGAAGGCAACTCCAACAGTTTTGATGGCAAAGCATTTGGGAACCCATGCCTTCCATTGAACAGACTTAGCTGTTCCTCCTGAACTCTGGAGAGAATGCTAGATTCAGGTCTTTCTTTTTGTAATATAAATACCTCTGAGCTGAAGAAACATTTCTAATTAGTCATTCATTCATTGTTCTTTTAAATAATTCAATGGTTGCTTGCAACATTGAGAATTCCATCCATTCTTAGCACATTGTCTCATAAAAGCAGTTTCCAGTATTGATGAAAGATCCATTGTGTGCAGAGGAATGTGAAATCTCGCCAACTTTAGTTGTGACTATGAGCCCAAGACTGTTGGCTTGTCATTTTAGAAAAGGCCACTGGGCCTGTAATTCCCTTCTAGATGCCAGAGACTGTTTCTTAAAAATATGTATACTTTTCTAAACATTTAAACGAAACATTATAAGAAATGGAAAATGGAGGGAGAATAGCACTCTGTCTCCCTCATATAATCAATTGCTTTTAGTTTTTTTTGTGTAAACTGCGCTGTTGCTTTGGATTATATACTTTTTATGCAGTTTGAAAGTGAAAGTTGCTCAGTTGTGTCTGACTGTTTGTGACCCCATGGACTGTATAGCATAATCCATGGGGTTCTCCAGGCCAGAATACTGGAGTGGGTAGCTTTTCCCTTCTCCAGTGGATCTTCCGGACCCAGAAATCATACTGGGGTCTCCTGCATTGCTGAGCTATCAGGGAAGCCCCCCCTTTTATGCAGTTTAAGGAATCTAAATATTTGAATATGTATATAGAAAATTTCATTGCAGTTTAGTTGCAGCCTTAATTTGTACAATGTCCAGATGTTCAGTATGTGGAATTTTGGTCAGTATTTTACTTCATTAAATTTATTTTTTAAAGAATGCCTCAGTATTAGTATTGTTTTAGTCCAATAGGATCAGTAAAATAACGTCATATTTGTGTCATATTTTATAAACTATTTATTCAAATATATTACAACTTTCAGAAGAATATATTCTATTGACCAGGGTAATACATTTCTTAGAAATTGATATAAACTATGTATATATATTAATATATGCTTATACCAATATTTAAAATCTTACTTGTTCAGCATAATGGAGGCAGACCTAGTTTGACTTAATATAAAGCAGGAAAATTTTTAAAGAACATATATTTAATTATTAAAGTGTTGATAAAAAAGTCCATATTATGAAGTGAAATTAACTTGAAAAATAGTGAAAATTATAGTTCATGAATAGTCTGATTTATGTAATTTTCATGGAGTTTTTCAATTTTTAAGCTAAAGGAAACAAATTCTTAAAATTCAAACTACACAGTTGGTATGAAAAAAAGACTGAATTTTAGATACTAATATTTGAACTCATTATTGAAAAATTATAAAGAGTAATTTAGAATTAATATATAGAATTAAAGAAAGTTATTTTGCATTTTGAACTAGTAAAGTCTGGCTCGATGAGCTACTAGTACTAGTAGAAGTTTTTGGTAGATGCTGATGGGCTGAAGAGACCATGGCCATCTTTGCACATCATGTGTAAGTGGCCTAATGTTATTAGCCGCTTGAGGGAGCTGGTAAGATTTAGGCATCCAAGGCTGTGTGTCTGTTTCCTACCTTGACCTTGAATGATCCTGTTTTTCCAGAGTAAAACAGTACCTTCTCTTATAGCAGTGTATAATAGCTCATACAGCTAAGAAGGTATTGAAAATTATGCATTTATATGTCATTTCTGCACATTTTACAGTGATGAAATTGCACTGAAAGCTTTTTGCATAGAAATGAATATGTGATGATTTCATTCACTTTTTTTTTCATGAAATGTAATTTTGTTAAAAAGTATGTTAGACTGAGAGATTGCTAAAAGTTTAGCCTGCCCGGATTATAGTAGTTCTTGAAAATCTTTTTTTTAAATGAGAAAAGAGTGCTTGGTTAGCATGATAAAAAATTCCAAGTGAGATAAAAGGAGAGATGAAAATTTTTTAGGATGTTCATTTGAACATTACTCTTTCTCTTACTATGACTATCACGCCCCCCAAATATGGAGAGTATACGCCCTGTGCTTCTTCTTGTGGAGAGTCTGTCCCAGGTGTGGGGCTCTTGGACTTCTGACCACTACAGGCAGTTTGATGTCCCAGTGGCCCTTCTGACTGTCCTGTGGAATGGCCAGGGCTAAGCTGTCTTCAGACACATCAGAAGACCCAGCTGCACATCATTTAGAACTAAGCAAAGACGAGCTCTTCTCCCCAGCCAGAATGTCTGAATCACAGACACGCTTCCTAGAGGACCATCAGAGCCTCTGTCACACGCCCAGCCTCTGTGCAGACCCCCAGGCACACATCCGCCTATTCTCCCCTTTCATCTCTCTTTTTACCGTTTCTATTGTCCCATGGAGGGGGAAATTGTTTTTCTTTATGCTCGCCTAGCTTCTTCCCAAGGGACCCTGTCGACTTAGACTGACAACAGATTAGCAAGGGAAAAGCAGCAAGTTTATTAATGTGTCCAGTACACATCCTGTGGGAGAAACCACAATGAAGAGGAACTCAGTGGGGTGGCTAGAATGTGGGCTTAAATGGCATCTTAGCAGAAGAATAAATTCGTAGAGAAGTCCCAAGACCTCCAAGAACCTAAGGGTTCTAAGCTCTCACGGGTGGCAGACTGTGGGGATGTAAACGTGTGGGGTGGGAACTCCAGTGGAGTAAGGTTTGTTTGTACAGGTCCACTTTGGCCGTAGGAATTCCCCGCGAGAGGGGATTTTTGGCAGTCCTCATTTTTCACAAGTGTCTGCTTTTGTTCAGACAAGGGAAGCTTGGGGAAAGTTTCTTTCCATAGCTATTGATTCTCTTTGTCTCTACTCAGTGTATGCCTTATTCCCAAGTGGCGTATTTCCAGGGGGCATATTCTGATCCCCTATATCTTTTATTTTACTTGATTTTCAATCAGATACTTAAATGGATTTACCTTGTGTGGGGCTTTATTCTAATCATCTTACAAATGTTAATTCTTTTAATCTTAACTCTATGAGACAGGGATGATTGTCATTACCCCCATTTTTCAGTGGGAAACTGAGACACAGAGAGGCTAAATGATGAAGCCAGGACTCAAATCCAAGCAGTCTGGCTCCAGATTCCATGTTCTGTTTTTAAATTGTTATTGTTACTTATTATAGTGTATGTGTGATATACAGTACACATAAGGAACAATATTTGGTACAGAATAAATGCTCAATTAAGAAATGTTCACTCTCATTATCATTGTTATGAAATAGTCTCCAAAAGTATTCCTTTTACTGGTTGTATAATATTCTGTTGCATCATAATTTATTTTACTTTTCCCGTGTTGTTAGGCTTTTAA